TCCTCCTGCCACAGCCTCCCAAGTAGTTGGGAACACAGGTGCATGCCACCATGCCAAGCAGTTAAATTTTTTTTGTTGTAAAGACTGGATTTTACCATGTTGTCCAGGCTGGTCTGGAACTCCTGACCTCAAGCATTTATTCCTCCTTGGCCTCCCTAAGTGCTGGGATTACAGGCATGAGCCACCATACCCCGCCACTTCTTCATTCTTGTTGACTTTGTGTCACTGGAGAAAAAAATAAATTCTACCCAGTATGTAGCTTACCACAGTATCTGGCTTACCACAGTCATGTAGTTTCACTACAAGGCAGTTTCATATATAGAAATGAAACCATGGCTGTTTCTGGATGGGCTGTCCTCAACATTTGTGCTGGAATAAACTCTCTTTAAATTAGATTCTGACCATTTTGATCACCAGGTTGACACCATCCAGTCTTTGGTCACCAAAGCCCCTTTGCAGGGAGAGAGAGATCAGCCCCTTCAATTCTGATAACTATGCTTGGAGAAAGTGAGTGACACAGCTTCCTCAGCCAGCAAAGAGAGACGTCCAGGCTGGAGAGCTTCCGTCCCTCCTCTATACACGTGCGATGCTACCCCATTCCTGCCTATCCCCTGGGAGGGACTCCTTGAGGCCAGATGGAACTAACACCACAAAGATGCCAGGTGGAAGAGTCGTCGTATTTATTCCGGGACAAAAGGGCAAGTGAAGAGAGAGCCTTTGAGAGCGGGAAATGTCAAGGCTCCTGGGGTTTCACATTCCAGGAGCCCAGCTCTGCCAGCCCCACCGAGGAACCCTGGGAATGTCAGATTTTGGGTCTCATCGAGGGATATCTGTGACCAAGGCCTGCCTCCTCTTTCCAGAGGGGCTGGGCCAGCGGAGGCGGGGTGGGGCGGCAGTTGGAGGCATGTGGACTGGAGTGGACTGGAGTTCAGGAAACCCGGGCTCTGGTCCAGCCTGTGTCTGTGACCAGCAGTTGGTCCTCGGACCGTGTCCTGCTTGGATGGATTAGAAAGTGGGATGGGAGAATTAAATGTCTGTCTGAGGTCAGGATCTTGCACTTACTCGCCAGAGAAACAGAACCTCCTTTCACTATGGGCAGAGTTCAAGTTCCAAACCCTGAGGATCAGTTCCACCAAGACAGAGCTGGGCTCCAGTGCCAAGACAGACCTGTCCCCAGACAGTGGATAGGATAGGGTGGGGGACTCCATGGGGCTGGTGGAGGGATTGGACAGCGCTGTGTGCAAAGGCTTTTTTGACACCTGGAGAAGGAGCAGGGACAGGAGCACTGGACTGGCCCTGACCGCCCTCCCCGCTTCCCAGCCTCTGAGAGCCCCCTGTGCTGTCATGATCTCCCTCCACTGTCTCAGCCCGGGCCTGACTCAGCCACCTGAGAGACCAGGCTCAGGCCAAGGAGGGTTGGCTGGACTCCTCTCTCCTCGGGACCCAACCCTAATCCTGACCCAAGAAACCTGCTTTCTCCCACCAGTGTCTAGGCCTCTACCTGCCTTGAGCCATCCCAGGAAATGCCTGGAACCATGGTTTGAGAGATGAACCTCATTATCGGAAGATGTGTTGGGGCATCTAAGTCAGTAGCACTTAGGCAAGACGGAAGCCAGGCCATGCCTGCACCCTTCTTCATTCCTTAAAAAAATTTTTTTTTTAAATTGAGACGGAGTCTTGCTCTGTTGCCAGACTGGAGTGCAGTGGTGCGATCCCGGCTCACTGCAACCTCCGACTCCCAGGTTCAAGCGATTCGCCTGCCTCAGCCTCCTGAGTAGCTGGGCCTACAGGCATGTGCCACCATGCCCAGCTAATTTTTGTATTTTTAGTAAAGACAGGGTTTCACCATGTTGGCTAGGATGATCTCGATCTCCTGAACTCATGATCTGCCCACCTTGGCCTCCCAAAATGCTAGGATTACAGGCATGAGCCACCGTGCCTGCTCTAAATTTTTTTAATTTTTATTTTTTATTTTTTGAGACAAGATCTCGCTCTGTCACCCAGGCTGCAGTGCAGTGGTATGATCTCAGCTCACTGAAACCTCCACTTCTCGGGCTCAGGAGATTCTCCTGCTTCAGCCCCTGAGTAGCTGGGTCTACAGGCCCATGGCAGTATGCTCGGCTAATTCTAATTTTTGTATTTTTTGTAGATATGGAATTTTGTCATGTTACCCAGCCTGGTCTTGAACTCCTGAGCTTAGGTGACCCACGTGCAATGGCCTGTCAAAGTGCTGGGATTACAGGTGTGAGCCACCACACCCAGCCCATTTCTTTTCTTTTCTTTTTTTCAGGGTCTTACTCTGTTGCCCAAACTGGAGTGCAGTGGTCTGATCATGGCTAATTTCAGTCAGGAACTCTTGAGCTCAAGCAATCCTCCTGCTACAACCTCCCAAGTAGTTGGGACCACAGGTGTGTGCCACCATGCCCAGCTTTTTAAAAAAAAATTTTGTAAAGACTGGATTTTGCCATGTTGCCCAGGTTGGTCTTGAACTCTTGGCCTCAAGCAATTCTTCCTCCTCGGCCTAAGTGCTGGGATTACAGGCATGAGCCACCATGCCCTGGCCACGTCTTCATTCTTGTTGGCTTTGCTTCCCTGGAAAAATATAAATTCTGCCTCAATATGTGACTCACCACAGTCACGAAGGAAGATTTCACTACAAGGCAGTTCATAAAAATCTGTGCAGTGCACACTAACCTATTTTTGTGTCTGTTTTTTGAATTAAAAAAAACATTGTCTATGACGTACTCAAGGAGTTATGCCACCCAATAATACGTTGCCACCCTTAGTATGGAGGACAGTAATCTTTCCCGAGCTGCAAAAGGGCAAGCCAGGAGAGCAGGGAGCAATGGAGAAAGAGAACACGCTGTCTTCTCTCCACAAGGGAGGAGGGGACTGCAGGCCCCTCATGACTGCACCGTTACCCAGCTGCAGGCTCAACCCTCCTCTCCACCCTCCTCACAAGAGAGATGCAGGGATGTTCTACAACCATAAATCTGATCACTTCCATCCCCTGCTTAGGCCTGGGCCGTGCTCAGTGCCCTCAGGATAGACTCTGGAGTTTTCCAGGGGCCCATAAATGCCCCAGCCTTGCTGCCCACTCCAGTCTCCTCTTCCTGCCTTGCATTCTGGCCTCTCTGGGTTCAGCCTCACCGAAACAGGCACAGTTCCCATTCACTCTTGAAACAGTAGCTCAGATGTCTTCTCCAAGAAGACATCGCTGGCCTCTCAGGCTGGGTCGGGCAACCACTGTGGGCTCCCAAACCTTTCCACTTCCCCAACCCAGCCCTGACTCTCTGAGCCATCAAGGCCTGAGGACAATCTGTGTTCCCAGTGATGGCACATGGCCCGCTATTATGTCTCTGCTGCATCCTCAGCAGCACGTCAAGCAGGGCTGGGCCCACAGATGGCCCTCGATGACTGTTTATTATTAATACCAGGTGGTTAAATATGTCACCTCTTGTTCATCCAGAAGACAATAGAGCCACAGGGCCTGGTGAGCTCCATTTTACCTGGAAGGCACCTGAGGCTCGCAGAGGCCAAGTCTCTCCTCCTGTTGCACCCAGCGATTATCTGAGACCCAAGCCTCTCTGGTTGCAGAGCTGGACTCTCAGCCAGCCCCATGCTGGGGTGGGGGGCGGGGAGCTTGGAGGTGGGGAGCTGGGTGCCTTGGCTGTTTGCTATATAGGGTGATCATCCCCTGTGGTGCAGAGAGTGTGGTCAGGTGTGGGAGAGGCCAAAGGGACCCTGGCAGCACTTGTGCATGGTACAAAGCCTGGGAACCACACATGTCCCCCTGGCAAGGAACAAAGGGGTTTGTTAAAGGCCATTAGACAATCCTGGAATCTCTGCGCAGGGTTTGGGGTGGAAGGAGAACCTTGTGTGTGACACCAGTGCACACTTCCACATCCACCCCCGGGGCTGGGCTGATGATGATGAAGCCTCAGCTTCTACCTGGGAGACACCAGAGCTGGCACCATGGGCAACTCGGGAGCCAACCATGGAGATTTTCCTGAATCCTCAACTCCTGGTGGGTCTGGACACCACGTGGCTGCCCCATCACAGGATCACAGGATGGTCTCAACACCTCACCTGCTGGACTGGGCCCTCACACTGATGCACATCTAGAAGGGGACCAGGTCGTGGAATAGCCCCAGGCCTGTGCCTGGGCTCAAGACTCACAGGGTCAGATATAAAGCTGTGTAGACATGTGAGTGTGGGAGGTGAGGACCCAGAAGCGTCCTGCAATTTCCTGTTTTCTTTCTTTTTTTTTGAGACAGGGTTTCACCCCTGTTGCCCAGGCTGGAGTGCAGTGGTGCGATCTCAGCTCACTGCAATCTCCCTCTCCCTGGTTCAAGTGATTCTTATGCCTCAGCCTCCTAAGTAGATGGGATTAAAGGCATGTGCCACTACACCCAGCTTATTTTTGTATTCGTAGAGACAGGGTTTCACCATGTTGGCCTGGTTGGTCTTGAACTCTTGAGCTCATGCCGTCCATCCACCTTGGCCTTCTAAAGTGCTGGGATTACATATGTGAGCCACCCCACCTGGCCTCTGATTGAAATTTTTTATTGAAATTCGGGCCGGGCACGGTGGCCCATCCCTGTAAACCCAGCACTTTGGGAGCCCAACACAGGTGGATCACAAGGTCAGGAGTTCAAAACCAGCCTGGCCAAGATGGTGAAACCCCATCTCTACTAAAAGTACAAAAATTAGCTGGGCATGGTGGTGGGTGCCTGTAATCCCAGCTACTCGGGAGGCTGAGGCAAAGAATTGCTTGAACCCAGGAGGCGGGGGTTGCAGTGAGTCGAGATCGCGCCACTGCACTCCAGCCTGGGTAACAAGAGCGAGGTTCCATCTCCAAAAAAAAAAGAAAAAGAAAAAGAAAAGAAAGAAATTCAAATGTGGGGTTACTATGGTATTCAGTACATCTATATTGTGTATGCTGGATAGTTTTCATAAACACATTATGATAGATTTCCCATGTTATGGCTCATTTCTAGGGTCCCAGCATAGAGGCACCTCATGGAGCCCTGCCAGATGTCACGCGAGTCCATGTGAAGAGAGTCCACCAACAGGCTTTGTGTGAGCAACAAGGCTGTTTATTTCACTTGGGTGCAAGTGGGCTGAGTCCGAAAAGAGAGTCAGCAAAGGGAGAAAGGGGTGGGGCAGTTTTATAGGCTTTGGGTACGTACTGGAAAATTACAGTTAAAGATGGTTATCTCTTGTGGGCAGGGGTGAGGGTCACAAGGTGCAGGGTGGGGAGATCATGAGGCTCATTGTCCAGGGGAGGAATGTCACAAGGTTGATTGATTAGTTGGGGTGGGGCAGGAACAAATCACAATGATGGAATGTAATGTTTTGTAGTTCTTCAGCTGCCTCAGGCCATCTGGATGTATATGTGCAGGCTTGGGCTCAGAGGCCTGGCATTCCAGTTAGAATGGCAATCATTAAAAAGTCAGGAAACAACAGGTGCTGGAGAGGATGTGGAGAAATAGGAACACTTTTACACTGTTTGGTGGGTTGTTAACTAGTTTCAAAACCTTATGGGAAAACAGGTAGGCGATTTCCTCAAGGCATCTAGACTAGGATGTACCATATGACCAGCCGATTTTTCCATTACTGGTATGGATACCCAAAGGTTTATAATCTGCTGCCTATAAAAGACACATGCGGCACGTATGTTTAATTGCGGCCACTATTCACAATTGCAAAGACTTGCGAATCAACCAAATGTCATTCAGTGCGGACTGGATTAAAGAAAATGTGGGCACATATACACCATGCGGAATACTTATGCAGGCCATAAAAAAGGATGGTTTGCTGTCCTTGTAGGGACATGGTGGCAGCTGAACACCATTCTTCTTGAGATCAAACTATGACAAGAACAGAAAACCAACACCACATGTTTCTCATCATGGTGGGACTGAACATGGAGATCACTTGCGACTCGGGAAGGCGTGGAAACATTCAACACACGGGGCGTATCATTGGAGGAGGATTGCACTGGGAGTGTTTACCTGATGTAAATGACGGATGATGGGTCTGACGAGTTGACTGGGGTGGCGCAACAGCCACATGGCACAAGTATACATATGTAACAAACCTGGCACGTTTATTGGCACATGGTTACCCTAGACTTAAGTATAATAATAATAATAAATTAATAATAAAATATATACTATATACAGTCTATTTTTTTTTTTTTTTTTTAAAGCAGTGAGGTAAGTCAGGGCCCTTTGCGTTTTTTGGAGGAAAGAGAAATGCAAAACCAGCAGGTTGTTTGGTTAAAAAAGGATTTGAAACGGACTAGGAGGAGGTGGAGTGGAGATTGATGTGTGATGGAGATGCTGGAGAGAGGTAGAGGAGGACAGAACAGGAATGAGAATAAGAGCTGAGTTAAAAGCCAGACTTAGGACTTTTCGGGTGGAAAAGTTATTGGCGGAGGTTGCCCTGTCAGCAAAGATTATCTATCCACTCCAAGAGGGAGTCAAGATTGGTGGATTGGGGATAATACTAGGAGATATCTGCTGTGATGGTTTGGAGGGTAAGTGTAAACCGGCAGTGTAAACAGGGGCACAGCATTTATGAGTAGTTGAGAATGGTGAATAGGAGTATGACTAGACAGAAGATAGCAGGAATAACAAGTTTTGAGGGCACAGTCCAAGTAGTGGGGGTGACTGCATAAAGCCCTGTTGTAAAGTATAGGGTAAGGAAGAAGAGACCTTAATAAAAATGAAAAGATATATTAGGCTTATAAGGATTACTATTATCCTTTAGGAATGCGGGTGAGTTTAAGGGAAGTAGGGGTGAGTACTTGCTACTTCCAGGAGGAAGAGGAAAGATTAGACTGGCTGTCTGACAGGCACAGCTTTCTTCTGGAATGGTGAACCCAATGGGGAAGGTCCTGCAGATGGACAGCAGTTGGGGTGCTATAGATGACTAGGTAAAGTCCTGCCCATCGAGGTTGTAGAGTTTGAGGCATCAGATTCTTAACAAGAACTGATCATACAGCTAGGGTGTCTTCATATGGCTGGGAATCTGGAGTAGGCAAGAGAAGATTAGCAGCCTGGCGAATTTCATGTCTAGCCTGCTGGAGGACTGGAAGATAGCTGCCTAGAGAGCTGGTGTCTGGGATGAGGTTGGGGCCGAGCAAGAAAGTGCGTCCGTATAAAAGTTCAAATGGACTGTACCTTACAGCATCTCAAGGACAGGCTCTAATTCTGAGAAGGGCAAGAGGTAAAATTACTGTCCAGTCCTTTTTAAGTTAGAGGCTGAACTTGGTGAGGTGTGTCTTTAAAAGACCATTAGTCTGTTCTACCTTTCCTGAAGATTGAGGACGGTAAGGGGTATGAAGGTTCCACTGAATATCAAGAGCCTGAGAAACTACTTGGGTGATTTGACTAATAAAGGCTGGTCTGTTATCAGACCATATAGAGGGGGGAAGGCCAAACCGAGGAATTATGTCTGACAGAAGGGAAGAAATTACCATGGTGGCTGTCTCAGACCCTGTGGGAAAGGCCTCTAGCCATCCAGTGAAAGTGTCTACCCAGACCAAGTGGTATTTTGGTTTCCTGACTCGAGGCATGTAAGTAAAGTCAATTTGTCAGTCCTGGGCAGGGGAAAATCCCCAAGCTTGATGTGTGGGGAAGGGAAGGGGCCTGAACAATCCCTGAGGAGTAGTAGAATAGCAGATGGAACACTGAGAAGTGATTTCTTTGGGATAGATTTCCACGATAGAAAGGAAATGAGAGGTTCTAAGAGGCAGGCTAGCAGCTTATAACCTACATGGAAGAGGTTGTGAAATGATGACAGAATAGAATGGGCCTGTGAGGCTGGAAGGAGATATTTTCCTTGGTCCAAGAACCATTTGCCTTGAGTGGGGAGGGATTGATAGGTGGAAACTTCAGTGGAAGAGTAAGTAGGAGTGACTGATGAGAAGGAAGAAAACTGGCCATGAGGGACAGAAGTAGGAATACTGGCTGCTTCTTTAGCTGTCTTATCAGAGTGGTGGCAGCTGCCACATGCAGACATAAGGGCCAGCCTAAAACAGTAAGGTCAAGTTGTTTGAACAAAAAGGCTATGAGGCACAGTCCTGGTCCTTGTGTAAGAATTCTGACTGCACAGTCCTAAACTTTGGCTGTGTGTAATGAAAAAGGTTGGGATGAGTCAGGGAGAGCTAGTGTGGGAGCAGTCTCTAGAGCTGTTTTCAAGGAACAGAAAGAGGAGTGGGGAAAGGATTTAGGATCTATGGGGTCAGCTAGGTTTCCCTTTGTGAGTTTATATAATGGTTTTGTTAGGATGGCAAAACCAGGTATCCAAAGGCTGAAGTATCCAACCATGCCCAGGAAGGAAAGGAGTTGTTGCTTTGTAGAAGCAGTTGGGGTTTGAGAGGTCAGCCAGACATGATCTGCAGGGAGAGCACACGTGTTTTCATGAAGAATTATGCTGAGGTAGGTAATGGATGGAGAAGAAATTTGAGTTTTGGAGGGGCATACCTGATATCCCTTGGAGAATAAATGTTGAAAGAACAGGAGGGTATCTTGTTGAGAAGATTCAAAGGAGGGGCTACAAAGTAGAAGGTCATCAATATATTGAATAAGGTGAGAAGAAGAGGGGTGGAAAGAAAGTAAATCATGAGAAAGAGCTTGGCTGCAGTAATGAGGGCTGTCCCTGAAGCCTTGTGGCAGTACAGCCCAGGTAAGCTGCTGGGACTGATGGGTGCCAGGGTCAGTTCAGGTAAAAGCAAAGAGAGGCTGGGACAAGGGGTGCAGGGGAATCATGAAAAAAGCATCTTTAAGATCAAGAATGGAATAGTGAGTTGTCGAGGAAGGTATTGAGGACAAAAGAATGTACGGGTTGGGCAATACAGGGTGGCTAGGCAAAGCAATTTGGTTGATAAGGCACAGATACTGAACTAACCTGTAAGACTTGTCCAGTTTGGGGACAGGTAAAATGGGGGAATTGTAAGGAGAGTTTATAGGCTTTAGAAGCTCATGCTGTAGCAGGCAAGTGATAACAGGCTTTAGTCCTCTTAAAGCCTGTTGTGGGATGGGATACCGGAGTTGAGTGGGGTAAGGGTGATTAGATTTTAATGGGATAGTAATGGGCATGTGATTGGTTTCCAGGGAGGGAGCAGAGGTGTCCCATACTTGTGGGTTAAGGTGGGAGGATACAAGAGGAAGACATGAAGGAGGCTTTAGGTTGGGAAGAAGGGCAGCAATGAAATGTGGCTGTAGTCCAGGAATAGTCAGGGTAGTGGATAATTTTGTTAAAATGTAAAGGAAAAGGAACATTAACCTTGACTATGCCTTCAGCTCCAGCCACATCTCTAAGAGGAAATTGTTGAGCAGGTTGGGGAGGGCTAGTCATGGAACGAAACTGTAAGCCAGACCAGATGTGAGGAGGTGATAGAAGGATTATAGGGTGGGAGAGTGGAAGCTGAGGAAGAATTGGGACCTGGCTCAGCCTGGTGAGGAGCAGTCTGGGGATGAGGGGAGAGGTCACATGGGTTCATAGAATAGGAGGATTTAACAGACTCAGAGCTTGGGGTGGAGACTGAAGGAACAGATGGGAGAGAAAGAAGAAAGATTTGGCATGAGTTGCATTGAGCAGAGACTAGGGAGGAACTGACGTGTAAAAGAATGCCTGGACGTCAGGCACCTCAGACCATTTGCCATTTTTCAACAAAATTATCTAGATCTTGTAGGATGGAGAAATCGAAAGTGGCATTTTCTGGCCATTTAGAACCATTGTTGAGTTTGTACTGATGCCAAGTGCTGTTGCAGAAGAAAAGATACTTAGGTTTTAGGTCAGGCAAGAGTTGAAGAGGTTTTAAGTTTTTTAGAACACAGACTAAGGGAGAAGAAGAAGGAATGGAGGGTGGAAGGTTGCCCATAGTAAAAAGGTAAGTTTAGAGAAAAGAGAGGGTAGAGACACAGGGTGGGTGGTGGTGCTTGCCACCCAGGGGAGGTGGTACTTGCCACCAAGGTGAAGGATCAAGACAGGCATCCCTGCAGTGATCAGACACCTCTGGAATGTGGGTGAATAATCAGGCAGGCATCCCCGCAGTGATTAGACACCAA